CACCTCTACCAGCAACACATACTCCAAAAGTCACCGGTTCTTTCAGACTGGCTTTCTCCAGTTCAGACTCCCAGTAAGAGCCCCGCACAGCCACGCCAGGGAAGGGGACAAAGGGGCACTGCTGACAGAGCCTACTTGGCAGAGTGCTCTTCTTGCTCTCTGCAGCCACATGATGATGACCCTCGTGTCACTGACTCAGCACATGCATTGCATTAGTGAACAAAGCGGAAGCACAGCTGTCATGACTTCTAGCATTGGAAGCTCTGTGCGGCTGGGGATGTCAGCATTACCACGAGATTTGCAGGAGCCACCTTCCTGATTGAGAAGGACCAACTCAAATTCCCTAGGTGCAGGTAGGTGTGCATGACCAGACTCTCTTCCCCACCACGTGTCTGGCCTGCCCCAGGGACCACCCTTTCTCTTGTGCTGACCATTCTTGCACAGGACCACGGCACAACACAGATCAGGAACATGATCAGCCTCGAGAAGCTGCCTTAAAATAACCCCCCCGGTTTTAAACCAGAGATCAGTTATTTCCACTGGCATCATGGCACAGCCCCAAAAGACAGCTTCAGGACAGAGGGGAGACACAGTGTGGAAATGAGCAGCCAGAGCAAACGGAAACTCCTTCTCTTTGTACAGCACTAACCTGCAGCCCAAGCTTTAGAAACAACGGCAAAATAAATAGAAACTAACTTAAAAACCAACTAAAACACCTGGGAGGGAAAAAAGAAAACCACCCGGTGGCCCTCTCACAGGTCTCTAGTCCTACAGCACCTGCAAAGCTTGTCGAGAGCTCACGCAGATGGCAGCACCAAAAGGAAGCCACTGCCGAGCCCCTGTCGCTCCGCACAGCGGTAGCGGTGGAGGAGAAGGAAAAGCTTACAAACATGAAAGCAGTCTTGTGACCAGCAAAGGGTTACATACATATATATCTCTCTCTCTTCATACAAGACAGACAGGTTACTGATGTGTGTCAGGAAGAGGAGCCCCATGGACATGAGCCCACAAGGAAGTGGGAGAGGCAGCAGAAGGAGAGCAGGGCTGTGATGGAAATGGCATTTCTGCCCACAATCCCGTGCCCGGTCTCTTCTGAATCTCACTGCAGTGAAGACTTTCCTGCGTGCTAGTGTGTGGTATCAGGCCAGGAGACCCTTGGGACAGAAATAGATCTTCTCTCATTCCTCTTCAGATATGAATGCAACCGATTAGAATAAGAAATCCTGTTTACATCAGCCTGTGCCAGTCTCGGCAAGTCTCAAATTAGCTCTTTTTCCCTTCCTTCTTAATGAAAGGAGACCTGGCAAGAAAAGTGGTCCTTTCCAAAACAAAAGCAGACCATTGAAGTTGGTGCTCAGATCCAGGTTATTTAACATTGCCTTCAACAGCCCTTGGATTAGCCTTTTCTCTGTAGCTCTGCCGCACAGAGATCGCGTTTCCCCTCAACAAGAGGCCTTTGGTCTGGCCAGATGAGTGGCTGTGCTTGGTCTGGTCTGCACAGGCTCCCTGCTTTGGGTGGGCTCACCCTACAGGTGAGTTCCTGGGCTCCTGGAGGCTGCACTGGGGAAAGAAGGCATGGTGGGAAACCTCACAGCTTCCTCGGCCCATCAGCCTCAGCTCGAGCACCCGCATTGGTGCTCGCTGTGAAACAGGGCGGCCACTGCACACGGCGAGCTAAAGTCGTGCTTTCCTCATGACAGCGATAACGAGCGGTGATCCAGGGCTGACTTTCACCAGTGCCTGCGACAACGAGGTGTGGCTTTCACTATGCCTAGCATTTCTATATCACTTTCTTCCCACGTATTAAAAAAAAAATCCCAGCACATCCCACAACTTCCCATTAACCACCACCAGCTCAATAAAGAAGGGTGGAAAGCAGCGGAGACTTTCTCACACAATACTAGGGAAAGTGACTCTCCATGGGGCTCTCAGCGCTTCCAGCAACTCGGAAACTGCAATCTAAATAGAGGACTTGGCTGCAGGAACACCTCGAGCAGGGGTAAGAAACACACACACAACTCAAAAGCTGGGTTTTTTTGGTGAAACAGAACAAATTACTCTCGCTGTGCAAGGTCTCTTCTAACCAGACCTTGACACACTGGCTCAGACGTCGGCAGAACTTCTATTTTAGGCACGAGACAGATGCGAAGCGTGCATCAGTCAGTCTGGAGCTTGAAATACTGCATATTTGAGCTTTTACTGTCACACTTGGATTTTTTTCTGCCCAATAGGTCTTATTCAAGGACAGCAGAGCAGCTGTAAAAGCAAGGAAGAGAACCACAAGAGGAGCGGTTTTACTGAGGCAGAAAGCAACTCTACCCTACAGGTATACCAAGGTGGGGCTATGCAGTAAGCCCAGTACACTGAACCAAAGGACTTAAGGCATTATTCAACACAAAAATGAATTCAAACTTGCCAAGCTGCCGTAAAAGAAAGCAACCCAGAATTACTGATTTTGCACACTCCCTTTCACCAGGTAAAAGCCCATCTCTCGACCTTTAAACAAGGATGTGAGGCATCTCACCAGCTTAGGCACCTGAACACCTTCCTTCACACAGATTAACATGAGCCAGCACAGAAAAACAAGTGTTGAGGATTACAGGATAAACAAAACCTGAGAACAGCAGGTAAACTGAACCGCCCTGCTAATACTGCTCCCCAGCCTCGCTTCCCAGGGAGGGACAAAATCAGTGCATCATGCTTCAGGCATCATCTGAACATTGGGGTCTCAACACCACCAATATTTGGGAGTTGGGACACGTCTGCAGGAGTTTTAGACCACCCTTTTGCCAACTACCGTGGGCCCTACTCAGACAAATCAATTGCTCAGCAGGCTATGCTGCAAAATCTCAGGAGCAACCCATTCAGGCATGTATTTTGCATGGTTCAGGTCCCGCTGAAGATGTTTTTTTAAGATCAAGAGGGGAACGTGGTATTTTTTCAGCAGCCTCTTCTACAAGTGTTGTACCCAGTGTTGCCACAGGTGGAAGTTCAGTGAAAACCATCCTCCTCCAAACTGGCCGTTTACTTACCCCCTGCCTGCATTTGTTGAGGGTTCATGTGACAAGCTGTGATTTTGCGTGCAGCCACTACAGGGAGGGGAGCACTACGGATGGGGTTGGTAGCCACAGACTTTGATCTCTTCCACCGGGAAGAGTTTGGACAGCAAACCCCTCTAATGCTGTTCTAGTTTGGGAGGTTTCCTTTGAAACTAACAGCTGGAAGAGCATCAGAGGCACATGGTTAAGCAGATCCTGCAAAGGTTTAAGAACTGTAAAGACCTCCGATCGATCGGAACAGTATGTGAGAGCTTTTCAGACATTACAAGCCCGTCTCCTACGTTGCTGTAAGGGAAGGAGGTGTTACTGCACAATCCTTACATCACGTGGTAACTCAGCAAGAGAGCTGTCCTCCTGGTCCCAGACCCAGGCTCCACATCTGGCTGCCCTATTGGAAGTGTGTGCAGTCACCCTGTGATCCTCCCTGCCTGCTACAGGTAAGGCAATCTGAGCTGTATTTTACTTTTTTGAACACTTGTGAAATACAGACAACCACCCAGCCCAGTCCCCCACAATCACACACAACCGTGGGCACCAGCAGACCCCAGAACATCAATCCCGTACCCAAAGCGGATATCCCTGTGCCGAAAAGGGACACGAGGAAACAGGACAACAGATAAGTCAGGCAGGGAATAAGTGGGGTCACAGGCTGAAAGGCTGATCCCGAGTTGCAAAAACTGCAGCTCTCCAACCCCACGCTCCCACCCCAGTACGGTCAGCGTAAACAGAAGATACTTGACACAGGGGTTTTTCTTTCCCTTCGTAACACGAGCTGCTCCTCTAACCTCCAGCAGTTATGCATACAGCCCTGTTACACAACCAGGGCTTGCACAACCCTTGGAGGCATTTTATCAGCTTGCTCCTCCAAAGCTTGGAGTTAGCTAGTGCAGAGAGACGCTAGCAATGACCCGTGAAAGCAAGCCAATAGATGCGTTTCACAAGCAACCACGCAGCAAGATCCAGCGTACTTGCCAGCGCCGCAAAGACAGACCTACCAACTCCCTAAGCTGGTTACTAAACCTTCCCGGCAGACTTGCACGTGCACTGCCAGAGCCAGATTTTCCAAGGAGAAAAATCCAACCCCATCTTTAACGCCGAAGCTCCCCATCTCCTACTCCATACAGTGAGAACGGAAAGGAAAATTAGTCAATAATTCTACGATACTCCTTGCAAAGGAATAACTGGAGGCCCAGAAGTGGGTGATAACTAAGCAAGAATACTACAATAATCTGCCACCATAGGTCAAACTCAGCCACTCTTTGGACTTGGGCCCTAGAGAAGCCACCAGAGATACAAGCGCTCCTCTTCCACTCTTTCTGAATTCCGTGAGCGATCAGCAGCACACAGTTGACTTGAATGTTTACTCGGGGAGAAGCAGCAAGAGATTATGAGCAGCCGGTAATTATTTGTTCCGATATATGAAATTTCAAACTCTGTTAAAGAAGAATCTTGGCAGAGGTGCACCTGTCACTGCAGGGCTCGTGACTCACTCTCAATGATAGTGTGTATGAAGTAATCTCACCACTCGGATCAAATGATCACATTGGGAAAGCAACTTATGCAAGTTCTACGAATTGTGTTTTTAGAGGTAGGAGAGCCCACGTCAGCAAACAGAACAAAGTTCAGCATCAGCAGAGGTAACGGCTGGGTGGCTTTCTTTTACACCAGAGGAAAGGGATGGGGAGGAGATGGCAGGAACACAGACCTGAGCAGGGAAGCCTCTTCCCTAGTCCTTCAGGACTGAGCAAACACGTTATCTTGGCTGCATCACAGCAAAGGAGAGAGTAAAGATCAAATGAGATTTCAGTCCGGACACAGTTCCACGTGCTGCTTTTGCTGTGGGTGAACTGGGTAAAGAAACCATCGCTCCCAGCCAGTCCCCAAACCCGACTGCGCCCACAGATGCTCCACAACCTGCAATGCTCAAAAGAAAGAGGTTACCTTGCACCAACAGCTCTGCAAGCAAGCGCTGATGGGGCCTGTGAGCTCCAGCACGAAGGGCGGCGAGCAGCGGGGAAAGCCTCCCTCAAGACAAGACAAGGAGTTTTGGTCGTATGGCCCCGTCGAGCTCCTCCAGCTGCTTTGGAAGAAACAAAATAGAAGTTGCAGAAGGCACTTACTTGCTCAACCCTGGCTATCCAGAAGGCACCACCCCAGAGATTATTGACTGAACAGGAGGCAACTGCAAAGCAATGACAAAGCAAGAGGTTTTACTCTGCCACAATTAGAGCAGGACTAAGTAACAGAGGGTTAAGCCAGCTGTGTGACACTACATCCTCCTTCCTGCCCACTCTTCACCTTACTCTCCAAGGCTTTTACACTAGATTAAAAGAAGGTGCTCAGTTGTGTCAGGTTTTTTTCCCGTAGTGCCGGTATCCTCCCTGCTTCTTCCCCACTTTATGGGAAAGCGTTTTGCAAATACAGTTCTCACGCACCATCACATCCACATGCAACACAGAGGACTCTCCGAATCCAGACACTCTGTGCCGTGCACACCCTGCTTCAGAGCAATCAACCATCACAAGACACATCTGAAGGAAAACCAAGAGCTGCACTAGGACAGCTTCAGCTTCTCCAGGAGGGGCCTGACTCACCAGCCCTTCCCCGACAAAACACCGATTTCCTCATCTTGCAGCAGATTAATCCGCAAGTTTGCTTTGCATGTGCACAACAGCTCATCAGGACTTCTCAGAGGACTACGGAAATACTGAAAGAAAGCACATTCCCTTCTGTCTAGCAAAAGGATGCGTGCATCAGTGCACCCCACTAAGCACAGCTCTGCTGGCTAAGAACAAAAAAAAAAGTTAAATCCCGCAGCTCCTCACTACGGTCCACAAAGCATAAAGCCCTGTGGAAGGAGGGATGTCCCCACCAATGCTGTTTCACTTTCAGAATTAGAAACAGAGACCTGATCCTTTCTTGTACTTTCCCAGCTTCTCGACTGGATATATGTTTCTGCTTTTTAAAAAGAGCTATAAAGTACAATCCCATTTCAGTTTTCCAAATTCATTCAGATTAGGCAGAAAACCTCAGCGATCCCTCTTCTCTATATGCATTCCACCAAGCATTACTATTTCTTTTCACGCTCTGAAAGCTAACCCAAGCTAACCCACGGTCTAAACACCGGCAGAGCAAAGCACGCTCCAAGCTGCACCAGCTGTGCTTACTCCTGCAAATAAGATGACTTCCTAAGAATCAATTCCACCCTGATGACTAACTCCCGACACTGTGATCCAGGTGTCTTCACCCTCTCCAGCTTCAGTATTCCCAAAGAGGGAGTTTTCCTTTATTTCCTTCGATAAGCACATTCCCTAAGGGGAGAATCTCACTCTCTAAAGCAATTCCATCAGGAAAAGACAGGGATAAACAGTCTTCCAACACAGCAAAACTTTATAAAGAGAAATAGGCGGAAGGACAGCAAACCAGCCCGGCGTGCAGCAAAGGCGTCAGTTAGGTGCCAGGAATAACTTTCTGCAGAGAAGGGCCAGAAAAAGAAGTTCATTGAAGCCTTTTAACCAGCAACAGCCTGGGATGGGGTAAGTAGAAGCAACCCTTCAGCGCACTGCAGAAGCGAGGCAGGGCGGACGTCACCCTGGGGCCCCCCTCTCCCAGCCTGCCGGCCCAGGACCTGCCAGGAGGGCTCGGCA